TTTGTTTACGTCTGTCATTTGTTACAAATGAAGAAAAGTCCAAGAGTTGCCAAGTATAAATATCTTTATATCTATTTATTAAAATAATAATTTACAATAATAATTTATTTAATTAATACTTTATTAAAATACAAATTTGAAGTGCAAATACATTTGTAAAACTGTTTATCACAAAATGTTATTAATTGTTTGCAAGCATACTATAGTTTTCATGCATTTTGAGAATAAATAATCTAATATGTGTACATATATATCGTCGTTTAAAGTACAAAACCGCGTATCGTCATTCTTCAAAACCGTGTGACTGACATTGGCTGCCAAAAATTGGATTTGCTCACAAAAACTCTTGGCTCAATTCTTATCCATTCGTCCTGAAATATACTAGCCAGAATACGTTTGCTTTATAAAAAAGATAACCATTTTGAAATATGGGTGACTTTACTCTCTAGAAAATAATTTATGCAATTACGCGGTTTTGCATTTTCTTGATACGCGGTTTTGTACTTTAAACGACGATATGTATAGCATGTACTTACGGCGGCCGCCGTAGCAGAGTGATTACATGTGCGTACTTCCACTCCATAGGACCATGGTTAAATACCTGGTCAGATCATAACACAAAATAGCAGTCGTCCTTCGGCACGCAATGGCATACCTTCTAGTATATTTCTGCCTTGAAAACTCTTCTTATAAAATCAGAACTCATGCCTCAAGTTTGAGCAGAAGTTCGGCCAAACACTTAGAAAAATATTTTAGCACCAAATATTTATTTGTTTACTTATTTTAAGGGAGATGGCAATCTTCTGGTTTCACATTTTGGGTACAAAAATTTCAACCCTGATACAACAAATAGTATTAGTACTGAATGATAATGACAGATTGCATTCCCATAAACGTCCAATCATACATGATTGAGTTTTTTTTTTGCATTCACATTCTCTATGTGAATGGGTATCAACCATTCCATAACACACTACATATTTTGTGTTTGCAATTTGTAACCAATCTCAAGAGTGGTTGTTAAATTTTTTAAATCAAACAATCACATTTTTTAAACGAAAAAAATGAGAATGCACACTCAATTGATTCAATCATTACACAGCTCTGACACACACACACAAAATAAACAAAAATTAGAGAAAAATATATTTTTTTACCATTAGCCTAAAATTCGGGCGTAAACTGAAATACATATGTATGTATATATTTAAATAAAGTAAACTTTTGTACATACATACATACATATGGTGTGTACACACATAAAGCGAATTGAAATTTTTGCAATGAAAGCGGCTTATTTTCCGTGGTGTACATTTTCAACTAACTGAATATCAAAAGAATTCACGAAAAATGTCCTGCACATTGTTTTCTTTTTATTCATCTATTATTCATACTATGTACATATGTATGTATAGTATTTTAACGTAGGGAGGTGGACCACAGGCAGCGTGAACAATTTGTGTAAATTGCCTTTCAAATTCGTACTTCGATAAAAAGTGTCCACAGTGTTGATTTGATCAAATTGTATTTGATGAAAATGCTACCATTTGGTTCAGCAACTTTGTGATCAATTAAAGCCATCGAACTCTGAGCTATACTATTCATCTACAGGTCATTTACGCTTTTTAAATCATTTATTTCCAAACTAAAAATTCGCTAAATGAAAAACGAATAGAAATGGGTACAGTAATGAAGGTGTCATATACTCACCATACCTGAAATTGTCGCGCCTTAAATCCCGACACCTTAACTCAATACTGTTAAGGTATAAAAATAAATATCAGGAAAAATATGAGGGTGAGGATAACGTTAAAAGTAAAGGCAAAGATAAAGGAAAAAATATAGTTACAAAGAAAGGGTTATAGATAACGAACTCAAAACTCATTTACTCAACACACCTGAACCTGTCACACCTTAAATCCCGACACCGTAACTTAACACAGTTCACCTTAACTCACCACACTTCAACTTATCACGCTTAAACTCACCACACCTAAGTTCACCTGAACTCACCACACCAGACAGGGATAAAGGTGTGTATAGAGATAAAAATACAGATAACGAAAGGGTAGAGATAGGGATAAATAAAGAAATAGAGACAGAGAAAGGAGCGAATAAATATAAAGACGGAAATTTTTTGTTTTTGTGCAATATACGATGTCGTGGATTAAAATATAACCTTAAAGTATGTTCAGACAGGCCGCTAATCGAGCAATAAGCCATGCTTTCTAACTGAATGCTAATTGAAGGAATTTTTGCATGCAACCCGGCTGGGTACGTTTAATTTTGACTTTGTGGTGTGTTTATTGAACAAATAGCAATACGCTGTTTGGTTCTGGCCCTCTTTTACATCTGATATTCCGACAGGGATGGGCAATTGAATTTTCAAATTGTACCTAATTTGGGGAAAACTTTATATAAAAGTAGATAAATGTATCTAAAAAGTTAATATGTTTAAAGAAAAAAGCGAGCAACCTTTCCCTTCGATACCAAATCAACTTCTCGACTCACATTAAACAAATTTGGCTATGAAAAGAACCTGTTCGAACAGTTCGAGACAAAACTACGTTTTACTTTCCTCCGAGTTCTTCGATCTTACGTTTTGAAAAGAAATATTCTTCGTCTATCTAGCATATTCAACTACAGTTATGTTACTTTGACCACCCTTTTGTAACATTTGTATGCCCCTTCACAAAGGAGGGCGGCTACTGGACAAGTTACCCACAAGAGAAAAAGCGTTGAAATGTAAGTAAATATAATAACTTCTTACCAAATGTACCTAATATGGTTTGTTTATACCGAGTATACTTTCAAACTAAATAAAGGTACGATTGTACTAACTTTTCCATCACTGTAGCTAATTGAGCAGCTGAATGCGTGTCGCTAATCGAACAGCTGATCATGTGTGAACACCAAAAAGCGGTAGCTCAAATAAAAGGTTAATTGACTCAATTAAATTTCTGCCACAGTTTAATATTACGCATATAACATTATAATAACTAGCCTATCGTTTTATTCAAAACCAATAAAATACATACATTGTATCTCGATTAAGAGACAAACTAAATATGTAGCTTGCATTGGTTTCACTTGTACAGTGTGGCCCAGGCGTACTTACTTTTTTGTTTTACTTGTAATCCAAAAATACTTCGAACTTATTTCGTCTTATTTAATTCCAAATTAAAGTTATACATATTTTTAGGAGACGTATTGCAATTTTGGTATAATTTTTCTGACTAACGGTAAGTGTAAATGTAGATAAAATATAACCGATTTATATGTTGTGTTTTTCACTTAAAAATGGGGATCCGGTTTTTTCAAATTTTTCGAATTACTCGAAAACCGGGTTTCGAAAAAAATTTAAATAATCAAACAACTTAGTATCTACATATTGTACAATGTATCAATGTTAAATGGTGTCAATATTAGTAATATTATGCATTGGGTGGTATACAATCATTAAAAGAGTTCGTTCTCGTTTTTATTCACTTTTGTTATATTTAGTTGGCAATGTGTAAAATCATGTGCAATGGACTTTGGGTAATTAATTTTTAATTTTTCAAAGTAATAAATTTCATTATTTGTAAAATTTTTTTTTTAACAATATTCCATGGTTGAAATGCTGTGGTTTGAAATATTCATTTATTACGAGCCACAAGAGAACCATTACAATATGCCTCAACATCAACTCAGTCGAGTGTGGTCGGATTGACAGTTGGTTGTCGCAGTTTGATTGATCGATTGCATGCATTGTTTTAAAAAGGGCGAATAATTTTTAGCGCCCAAGGTAACACTTTAGGGACTACTGGTATGTAAAAAAATAAGCTGCAGTCATATTTACGAAGGTAATTTTAAATTCGTTAGGTTTGGTTGGCTTTAAAGCATTAACAATTTTTGCCAATATATTTAAGCACCAAGAAAAATCTGGACACAAAGAAAAGCTTGGTATTTTGCTGTTTTAACTGACTCCTTATTTGATTTTAATGGATTAAGTAAACGGTTACAAAATTTATTGATCCATTGCCAGTTTATTTTCTTTCAATCTCTCAATAATTGAGCAATGAGTGACCTAAAGATCGCATAGCAAATGCACACAAATAGAAAAATGCGAATCATCCGGAAATGTTTATTATTTATGTACGTACTTAATATAATTTATTTCCAACAAAAAAAAAATCGAAAGCGGAACTACATTTATACATGTATTATATTTGGGAGCAATGACTTCAGTTGTTTGATCGATAAGCACTTTAGTTACACCGCCAAAGGTACAATGCAATACAAATAAATAGATTGTCTCTTACGCGTAATCAGAGAAATTCATATAAAGTGAAAATTGACTGGATGCAATAGACCATAGACAAATTCAATTACATTAATTTCTCTTTCTAAATGAAGAAATATTGCTTTGAACGTACATATGCAGTTAAATGATTATTATCATCTCGCTATTGTAACTGAATTAAATTGACATGATTCACATGCCATGTGGCCGGCAGCGGACAGCTCTGATTGACTTGGAAAATAGTAGCGCAATCTCCATAGAGATACACACAACTAAAAGTACTTGTATATTGTTATGTATGCGATTAGCGATGGACTAAGCAGAGGGTTCACTGCCTGCTACTCTGGATACTTGAACTATTTAATTAAATTCTAATTTAAATTTTATATTTATGGTATTTTTCTGGCACATTTTAGCTTCAAGTAAATCGATACCAGTGATGCCAACCAGGGGAGATTTCCCCGATTTCGGTGGAATTTGAATTTCTCGGAGGAATCGGGGAATGGCTTCAAATTTTGGGGGAATTCAATATGCAAACGATTTTTATTAGAACATTCCTATTGAGAAAAAAAAATACAACTTGTAATAACCATCTCTCATGCAACCGTGTGGATA